TTTCTTCTAAGAAAATTATTTCATTACAGCTCTTGGCAATGTTATCATTGGGACGGTCATCAAGGAAATTTAAGCTCGCCTGTAAAAAAAATCGAAAATAAGTCAATCTGTAAACATAATTAAGATTGTTTTGCCCTGATGATGATCTTAAAACAGGTCGAAAGCTTGGTAGTAAGAACTGAATTTGCTTTTATCTTCAAGACCATACCCTGGTCCAGAATGTCGCGGAGTGAAAAAGTGGTCGATAATTCTAATACTGAAAAAATAAAATAACAGGGCTAAAATTAATACGGTTCAAGCACATAGGAATCAAGTTAGCTCTAATAGATTTTTGGTCTTTTTTGTTGTTGTAAGATTTGAAAATTAAACTCATTAATGTCATTAATTATGAGTTGTTATGTAAATACCGTTGTTAAAAAGTTGTTTTGTTATCGGTGAATAGAAACGTACGGGATTATAGCAACTTCGGTTGACATATTGACACCATAACTTCTTGGGGGGGCAACGTACAACATTCGTTAGTGAAATGTTTATCAACGGAATATTGTTGACACTGTTGTTTATACGATGAGTGTTCCGTGTTCGGTGTTTGATTTATGTAAACAATTTCTTTAACTGTTCCACATACTTATGTTGGCAATAAAATTGACTGACCTGATTTCTTGCTGTATCGTAGTTGTCAAAAAGGTATTTTTTAAACGCCGAGATAGATCACGTGCAAAAACTGATTTGATGCTCACAAGGAAGAAATGAAGAAGATAAACAGAAACGATATCTATAAGGGTAGCTATGAAGCTATGCATCAGTGCATATTTTTCTGACGTGTCATAATTGTATATATTGTCAATGTTGCGAGCTAAACCTTCGTAACGAAAAAAAACTTATAGGTCGTGGATTACATCATTATACAGTTCTTCGAACTAGCTTCAAAGATCAAGTCTAAAGGGCACAAACAATAATTAGATGGATCAAAAGACATATAGGGTTCAAACACAATGTAGTTAGATAGATACCCTAGCTTTGGCCTATTTTATAAGAAGGTTCATACGTAAAAAGGAGATTAAGCAAGGAGATTGTATCTCACAGGCTTTATCTCCATTTATTCAAGCAAGCACTAAAAAAACACACTTTCGGCCTATAATCGAGATGGGTTCATTAAATGCGAGAAGGGCTAAGCAAGTTGGTTTTTCTCCCTACACCCCGACCCTTACGTTTATGCTCATACAAGCTACAGACAACTTCATTTCACCCGATTTTCTAAAAAATATATATTTTTTAATTGAATATATAAACATAATGTGAAGCTGAATTCCAAATGATTCATTTTTTAAACTTTAACGATAAAATTGAACTACCAGAATGGCCCGATAATCACCCACCTCGACTGGTAGTCCGGGGTCAGACCTCGGTCTTATCCATCCCGCCTCGGAAGATTGGCGCCAGGACAAGCTAGGTCATTTCCAACCCATCAGTTAAATCTAAACCTACTCACTCTTATCTGCATTCTTTCCTATTACATACTATTTATTCAGTAAGGGTAGAGAAGCACTGTGAGTGTTTGTGCGCACGCACGCACACACCCAAATTTCTACAAAATTGATCATTTTCTCCATAAAAGAAAATTCTGCCCTTAATTTGTTTCATTGTTTTTACCAATTAATATTTGTTTATGCTATGTTTTAAATTGGGAATATCAATTAGAGATAAACACACTTAATACTTAATCCAAAACAAGGATAAAAGGATTTTTCGATGTTTACTTTTTACGGAATTTAAAATATTTATTCACTCTCATTTCAATTTCATCTTTGTTTTCTTAATTTCTGCCAGTTACTGCTAAGGATGTTGCGCGTGGAGTGGCACTTCTTGATGATGGACGTTCCATAAGGTATGCGGCTATTGCCGTCGGAGTTTCCTACGAAACTCTGCGAGACGCCGTTAGACGGTTTCGAGAAACTGGGTCCTACCATAGAAGTACGGTTGTGGACGCCCTAGGGTAACAGAACTTCAGAATGACCGTTTTTTGGCTTTAAGAATTTTGCGAAACCGGCACCTTACTTGTTCAAGCGATTCATCAGCACCAGAAAGTTCGAGATGTGTAAATTTCTGAATGCGCTGCTCGAAGAACATTAAATCAGTATGGACTGATGGCTTTTCGCCCCCAGAATTGACCAGCACACAAAGAGTTGCACGGCTCGCATTCGCGCGAGGTAACTGCCATTGGTCTTTGGTCAATTGGTCTGCTGTACTTTTTACAGATGAGTGTAGATTTGCTGTACGATCGCCGGATGGGCATTAAAGAGTGTGGAGAAGGCGAAATGAAAGGTACAAAGGCTGTAATTTTTCCCGGAGCCAACCTTTTCAACGTAGCTCAGTAATGGTGTGGGAGGGAATTTCAATGGAGAGCCGCAGAGGGTTGGTTGTTGTTCGTGGAGGGTCTTTGACGGCCGCTCTCTATGTGCACGAAATTTTGGAACAGCCTATCTTCGTTGAAATCAGCGACAATCCTATTCTAATGCACGATTATGCCCGTCTACATGTCGCTTGCATAGTACAAACGTACCTTCAACAGCTTATCAGGGTCTTAACCTGGCCAGCCGTTCTCCAGACTTGAAACCCATCGAACATTTATGGATAACCTCAAAATACGAATAAGTGAACGTCCATTACTTCCTGATACACTCCACGATCTTGAAAGGATCCTTTGTGAATGATGAGCTAACCACCAGTAAAGGGAAATTTCCAGACTGGCAGAAAGTATGCCGAAGTGTCTTCGAGATATAATTAAGGCAAGAGGCGCGATATTGAAATGTTAATTAAAAATCTAAAACAAAATTAAAACAAATTTTATCTGTCCGACTTTTTTTCCTTTACCAATATACATTTTTTTACTTTTTAGATAAAGACTCAATTATTAAACGTCAAAAAACGTGAAATTTTGATTAATATATAAAAATATATACAAATCAAATTGTATTACAAGTGTACAAGTGGGTGGAATTTTTTGCCTGTCAGTACGTATATATATAAATTATTCTGCGTGTTTTTTTTTTTTGTTGGCTGTTCAAATAAATAAAAAAAATTCATAAAAATATTATACGACCCATTTTTTTCGGAATCCACAGGCATTATGCAAACCGGGATTTGGCGTGTTTCGATCCCTGTGCACATCCAGTGTTTACACGCAAAACATCTGAAATATTCGGTCATAAGGCGTGACCAAATGAATTGTGAAACATTAAAATTCGCAGTTGGGAATTTGCGACCCTGCAGGCCCAAATTTGGTATGGGGTTTCTTTTGGGTCACGCAAAAGGAAAGACTCCAAGTAAGGCGTTTATGGGGTTTTGTATTAGCAGTTGCTACATGGATACAATAACGCAAAAAACAAAAAATTTATAATAATTAAAATATTAAAAGCCGTTCAAACGTAACAAGATCGTTTTATTTAATTGAAATCAATAGACGAGAACAATGAGTCGTAACAAATACGTAGAAACAATTTTATCGTTAGTTTTCAACTCAGAACGTACGAAATGTTTAAGAAGAAAGGCTATTTATACTAAAGATAATTTGAACCAATATATCACATTATGTATTAATTACACATTGTCCCACACCTGTTGTCTCCCACGTAACTTTCTTAAAACATGATTCGCATTGTGACATCCTGCCTAGTCATACACATTCTAAGAAAATCTCTCCCACCTTTATTGACTTTATAATTCTTTTGACAAAATACACTACCGGTTAATTTAAAAGCCGCAATTTATTCAATTATTCGGAAGAATAGCACGTTTGAAGATCATTGTTTACCTTTAAATTGTGTAATTCTCAGACCCCATAAGAGTTAAAATAAAATGCTTCTTGTGTCATTAAGATAATATTTCAAACAAATCTAAGATTTATATCAAAAATATTAAATTGTGTCATTCATCCTCGCACAAGAAGAACCGAAATCTACGTTTGGACACACCGGAAAAACTGGATTTTTGGTTCAACATTATTGGTGCATAAAAATCGTTAGTTTATATAATTGTTGTATATATAATCCAATTGCTTCAATTTATTGCCTTATAACTTCTCAAAACTATTTTTCATTTACAAAGGATAATTATAAATTACGTCTACCCACTACAAATTTAATAATTATTGAACAAGTTTGTATGATAAAAATACAAGGCGCTCAGCATTGTAAGGTAAGGGTCCCGGCTTCGGATCCAGCGGTCCTGCATTCGAACCCGCCATACTTACAAATGGGCTTGTTTTTTCAAAAACACCGGTCCCCTGAGGGTTTATATGACCTCTGCTGTTGCGAACACTCGTTTAAAAAAAAATAGTTAGGTTAGATCGTTTGATAGTTTCATCCATTATTTTTTACATATTTCAATTTTTTATAAGAATCAATATTTTCATACAAAATAGAATTAGACATTTCTTTAGAAAAAATAACTACGATAACCAAACACCAATTAAATTAATAAAAGTAGGAACAATCTGAATCACTGTATGGTCTGGATGAAAAAAGAAATTCAATTGTTATCTGCAAACTTTACACCTGTTTTAAGTACATCATAAGTGCAAAATAATCTTATAGTTGTCTAAAACGTTATATAATTATGATTTTAATGGATGATTTTATTTATTTATTTATTTTATTTTTTTGGAAGATCCCAACCTTGCCAAGGACCAAAAAAATTTGAAACCATCTATTAAAATCATAATTATGGCAATTTTTAGACATCTTTAGGATTATTTTGCCCTGATAATGACATTGAGAAAAAGCACGGCAGATAACAACAGAATTTGTTTTGTTTTTCCGCCGATTATGGAGTGTTAAAAATGTTCAATTGTTATGAATTTTATGTTAAACGTGAGATGTTAACGAAACCGGAAAAATTCTTTGTACCTTTCCAAATGCAAAATATAAGACAAAAGTGCAAATACTTGTTTTAATAAAAAATGTTGACTAGAATGCATATAGTCGGTTTTAAAGACGTACCAGAGTTGTAGCAACTCCCTTCTGTTTTCTTTTCCAAGGATCTCCCCGCTATGAAAAATAATTTCGCACAAATACTACAAAGGCGACACTCGTTTCCAATCCTGGTTTAAGCCACAAAATGAACTGTACTCTGTAGGAGTAGACAACCTGCCCACATACATCAGCCTCCCTCTCTACCCGCCTTAATCTACTCCCACTTGCATCTCAAGCCCACGACCGACTTGTCCATGTTCATAAACGGATTAAACGGGTAAGAAACAAAATTAAAATCGATTATTGAGAGCTTTCCGTCAAAATTCTACCGATTACACCTGGTTTCCGTAAGCGGGATCGATACCGGGGGAGGGGAGGTTTTCCATGTGCAATCTTGATTGTCTTGAGTTAACGTCGGAGAACGACTTCTAAAATTTTTCACCGTCGTTCTGAAGGCCGATGGGAATTGTCAAACGTGTCGAGATTATTTTGTCAATTTAGACGTCATCAGATCTTACGAAGTGGCGGCCGTGTGCATCTTAACTTTTCGTTTACTGACTGCCTCCTTGAGCCGTTTATAGCGGTTACGCTAGTTTATGCCAGTGTCGAGTGTTGCTAGAAGGAAGGGCAGAACGCCTTCTCCCACGCACGACCGTCTAGACTTCGCACTTCCAATTAATCGGGAATCGACGAATGGGATGAAAGTGGATGTCAAATTTCCTCAATTTAAACACATTTAAATGCATATATACCAGAAGCAGATGCTCATATTTTCATTTTTTGTAATTAAGAGGTACTTCAAGTTTCTTCAAACAGACAATAATATTGTGAAATACCTAAAACTATAAATATTTTAACTGAATTTCTTTGATGAAACGGTCGTTAATTTGTTTGCTGATGACCGGAGAATTCTTCCTTGTCCAGAGAGTAAAAAGTGGCGCATCTATCCAAGAACGAAACTTTTAGATATATTTTTCTTTCGATCGAGTTTGGCACCTGGGCTTCAGGACCTCAACGACATCCTACCTTTTACACACTATTTATTTAGAAATCGTGAGGTGCGGTCTGGTGTGATGTAGGTTTCAGAAAAACATTTTCTTTATCGTGCCAACATTTCGATCTTTATTGAGATCATCTTCAGGGCTTGTGTTGTCTGCATTTCAGCAAAAAGTTCTCTGATCTCTTCGTTCTTCTCGTGTAGAAATGTGTGGTGATTAGTGACCGTTAATCGATAATTATTCAGAAATCGTGAGATGCAGTCTGGTGTGATGTAGGTTTCAGAAAAAGAATATGGGATTCTATGAACAAATTTCAACTGCATATGGACACGCAGCTAAAAGTATTCTGAAGGACATTGCCAACAATGAGAAGAAACTCGCATCGGCTATCAATCAGAGAACTTTTTTGCTGAAATGCAGACAACATAAGGCCCTGAAGATGATCTCAATAAAGATCGAAACGTTGGCGCGATAAAGAAAATGTATTTAGACCGCATCTCACGATTTCTAAATAAATAACAATTAACGGTCACTAATCACCACACACTTTTACACACTATCTCATCCTTAAATAAGGTCCGCGACAAAAAGTTATCTTCATAACATCATTGGAATATTTTTTGATGGTGTCCATCCTGATTTTGTGGAACTTAATAATAAGAAGATGGGTAGGAAATAAACCCCTTTTTTAATAAAACTTTAAACACAATAATCTTTTTCACAATAGGCATTTATTAAATCAGACGATATCGGTCTAACAAAGACCATCTTCAGTGATTAATAACAAAAGTGGTACAAATAATATACAAGTATATTATAATATACATACATAAATATAATATATGTATATAAACAGAATATACAGAACAAAACAAACATAAACGTAATTTCTTAGAAATGGTTTATATCAATAGAGATAAACACAGCATCAATTACAGAACAGATACATGTAAACTCAGTCACGGCTACGCCAATATCATTAATCAAATTGAATATAGATAACATACATATATCATTACATTACATTCCACACATCAAATATTTTTCACAGTCTATTTGCTCAACAATTTAGCTTTCCTTTTCTTATTTAACCCTTTCTATATAATCCTGAAAGGATAATCTGCCGAACCATTACCACCAACACATTGTTTCCCTTCGTCGGCTCTTTTCACCTCAAAGAAGCCGACGCCTTATACAAAAATATCTTTTCTATACCGACTTCCTTTTCCATCCCTTCAAAATCCAACGTACATAAACATAAAACAGCAAAATCTCACTGGCACTCTCAACACGACACGCAAAAATGGCACAATTACACAGAAGCCAAACACTACGAGTGAGTAGAAATACCTTGATTGAGTATAAAAAATATATTTTGCTTTGTATAAATTCCCTTTTCCACATCCTAAATGTATTTGTTAAATGTAAACAATGTTTGTAAATCCGAGGCCCTGAAGATGATCTCAATAAAGATCGAAACGTTGGCACGATAAAGAAAATGTCTTTCTGAAACCTACATCACACCAGACCGCATCTCACGATTTCTGAATAATAATATACAAGTTTATTCATAATTTGTACCACTTGCCGAAGCCCACGTATCTGCCCGGCATGTTGCTCGATGAGACCCACCTAATTGAAGAAAATTGCAATTACTTGGTTCCATACGGAGAGCATGCAGGAATGCCACCCCGTTTGAGAATTGTCATTGAGTATTTGGTCCCCTGTACCTATTCTAGGAGGAAAGGGGGTTGCTCTATTGAATATAGCAATAATGATTGTATATACCTAGTTTGTGTTGAGAGTGAATGTATTTAACTGTTATTATTTATCCTATCGACCCTCAATTAGGGCAGTTGTACATGGGTACCGAGGTTGTCCTCCGAGTATTGTCAACAGCTAGAGAGAGAGAGTGAAGGATAGGAACAAAAAAGAGGCGGCCACAAGGCCTTCTGCACCTCGAGTAGATATATTGGGCTCGTGCAAAAATAATGCACGTTGATGTTTTAGGCTTCAACACGTTCTCGAAAAGTCTTACCCCTCAAGAAGTGATCAAAATGCTTGAAAAAGTGAAGACTGTAGGCGAGAAGTCGGGTGAATATGGAGGTTGCGGTAAGGTTTCATCCAAAGTCCTACGTTTCAGCAGAGTTGGCATTGCAACATGTGTCCTGGCATGTAGAAGAATCGGCTCCTTAAGGTTTACCAATTCTGGGCAAAGACGATGCAGTTTCCCGTGCATTTTGTCAATTTCTTGGCATTATTTCTCTGCTGCGATAGTTTCACTATAATTCAGGAAATTATAGTGAACAACCCCAGCAGTACACTATCAAACAGTCACCATAACCTCTTTTGGTACCGATTTGGTTTTCGGAAAGGGTTTTGGCACTTCATCCTTGTCGAACCACTGACCTCTACGCCTCCTGTTATCGCACAGAATCCAACTCGCACGTGATGATTCGATCGAGAAATGGATCATTTTGGTGGAGCAACACAAGAGAGGTGCATTCGTCGAGCTTCTTTACTTTAAAAATTGGCTCCAGATGGCTAACAACTGTTGAGTGGTCAACACTAATCTCTTCCGTAATTTCCCGTGTTGTCTTATGTGAATTTTCTTCAATCAACATTTTGAGTTGGTTATCAACCACAACCTACTGCGACCTTCGAAGTCACGATAGCTCAAGTGGTAGAGCATCGTCGTATTTAGCAGAAGATCGTGGGTTCGAATCCCGCTCGTGACGTTGACTTTTAAATCTCGACCAATACCGTTCATAAATATTGATTAATTGAAAAATGTTAATTGGTCAATCGGATCATGAACTGTAATGGATTTAATAATTGTTCAATGTTAAACGATTTTAACTTAAACAATAAAACTCTAGTAGGGAAGTATCAATTAAAGACGGTAAAATTTTTAATTATTATTTGTCGCGAAACTGTTGGATCAGTTTCCCAACCAATAAAACCCATTATTTCAAGCGTCGAACAAATCTCATAACAACAAGGCAGATTAGTCATGGTCTTGTTTGCAGCTGACATGCCTTTTATGAACTACCATTCAGGGATGGCCACGGTCGACTTCTTCGTCAATATTTTCAGAATGGACAGACCTCAATTTCGAAAAAACCAACAGATTAACCCAGTATTTGATGCTCCAAATCGCGGAATAGATATTACAGCCAATATCTATATTAGAGTATACCATCAAACCAATATAATAATACTATTGGCCTATTGTCTTTTAAATTATTAATTCCATTTTATTGCGTTTGGTACTAATCAGTTTTATAAAATTCATTATTTTTTCTTAATTAAATAAAGTAAATGCCATTTGGCCTATTTTCTGCCGTACTATTTTTTGCAGTATAAAACACAACCTCGATAGAGAGATAACTTTGTTTATTTGTCAATCTAATCCGCAGAGAAAATTTATTTCAAGTCGTGTCAGTTGATAACGATAGCACTTCTTGCATTCCATTAGTATTAGCGAACTATTTACTGATGTTGTATATTGTTTATTACCAAAATATTTGTGGACGGGAGATAATATTTTTATTTTGAGGGAGTAAAGTTAGTATTTAATGAAATGAAGTGATAAAACTGTAAAAAAAAGATCATGGACAAAAAATAGCCAGAGTTCTGACTCAAGTAGAATACATGCTTGTTTGAAGAATAACAATTAGGAATTAATATTCCGAGTACTTCTTTACAGGTACAGTTGTAAAGATCAAAATCTCAATAGATGTTTTCAGGAAGCTTAATTTTGTTGCTTGTATGTTGAAAACTTTTATTTATTCTTGATATTACCAAAAAAGACTGTTTTTTTTTCCAAATCGTTTCACTAAGCATACAAAGTGGTCGAAGGGAGGAAATTCTCTTAATAGATTAACATGTTATAGTTATATAGAAATTAGTGATGTATAATTTTTCCAATGAGGCACTGCAATTAAGGTCTTACATGAGTAAATTCAAATAACTTTCAAGCCCTAATTTAGGAATGTCTGTTTTTTACGTCATTAGTTTATTTTCTTAGCACTTGTGTAACACATCACTCTATAATTAACAAAAGTTTGTTTGATTAGTTTCACTTCATACAGAATGAATCTACACTATAGTCAGTCATTTTGTACAATATTTATTTAGAAATCATGAGATGCGGTCTGGTGTGATGTAGGTTTCAAAAAAACATTTTCTTTATCTTTA